GATGACTTATCAGGCAAAAGCACTAATGAGAAGAAATCCGGGGTAGCTACACTGACAACAGATGAAATAAACTAAGATAAAGAGCAACTGTAGGAATGAAAAGAGTCACTCCATAACAAAGCGTTCAAGTCACAAAATGAGATGGCAATTTTGAACATGTTGTATTTTAACGAAGAAATCGTTAAAGTCATCTCAGGGACCCACTGTTAGTGAACGTGGATAGGTGTAGCTACCTTGGAAAACATTTAAGCACTGCCTAAAGTTGTGACAGCAATTCCTTGCCTGTCCAAGAGAAACTCTCCCACACGTACAAGAATGTTTACAACAGCAAAAACATGGAAAGAGCCTGAAGGTCATCAGCAGAGGAGTGAATGGATACATTATGATATAGTCCCACCAGGAAAATATTGACAGTCAAAACAAATGAGCTACAACAACATACGGCAATGAGGAAAATCATAAAAATCTATGAAAGAAGTCAGCTCCCAAATGTGACATTTGGCATGTTAACTTTTTCATAAGGTTAAAAATACTTTCAAAAACTCTTTAAAAACACATGTAGATACAAAAAAGACATATAAAAAGAAAACAAGGGCTATGAAATTCAAGATGGTTATCGTGCGTGGGAGAACAGAGAATGGAATGGGTGGGGTAAGGCGGAGGCATATGGTTGCTTGGGTTATTGTCTAAATCCTAGCTTTTGTGGTGGTGGGTTTGAAGGCGCTTACACTATCGAAAATAACCAACTAAATATTTAAATATAATTTATGGACCAAAAATAGAATTATAATAGAAATTAGAAAACACTCAACTATAATTACAATACTAGATACTTCAACCTATTGGAATGACTACTATTAAAAGAAAAAAACATGTTGGTGAGGATGTGGAGAAACTGGAACCCTTGTGCGTTACCGGTGGGAGTATAAAATGGTGCAGCTGCTAGAAAACATTATGGCAGTGACTCCTTAAAAAATTAAACAGAATTACCACACGGCACGGCAAATCTACTTCTGGGTATATGTATCCAAAAGAATTGAAAGCAAGGTCTCAGAGAGGCATTTGTGCACCCACAGTCATAGCATTATTCACAATTAAAAAAAGAATCCAAATGTCCAGTGACAGGGGAATGGATCAACCAAATGGGGCATGTACATATACATAGTGGAATATTATTTCACCTTAAAAAGGAAGGAGATTCTGACACATGCTACAATATGGATGAACCTTGAGGACTGAATGCTAAGTCCTCAATAATAAGCCAGACACAAAAGGACAAATACTGTATAATCCCACTTATCTGAGGCTATCTAGTTAAACTCATAGAAACAGAAAGCGGAATGGTGGTTGTCAGGGCCTGGGGAGGGGAGTGGTTAATGGATATAAAAAACGTTCTGGAGATTATTGCACAACAATGCAGATGTTCTTAACACTACTGAACTGTACGTTTAAAAATGGCTAAGATGGTAAGTTTTTCCTTGAAAATGTAACTGATTCAAGAGCAGAAACCTAAGCAATCTATTATAAAAATCTAGAGTTAGATACCTACCCATCCCCCAAAATGCTAGGCACAGTTGGTTTTACAGTAACAAATGCAAAAAAGATATGTGTTGTGTGTGTAGAGAAATATGGTAAAATGTTATAAATTGGTGACCCTGATGAAGGGTACATGTGCTTATTTCAGAATTCTTTCACTTTTTCTTTAGGTTTGAAAATTCTCTGAATAGTTTGGGGTGGGTGAGGCGGTAAAGCTGAAAAATAATGAGCTAAGCACCCAACCAAAAGGGTTAGAAAAAGAACCAGAGAATAAATCCAAAGGGAGTATAAGTATAGGCGAAATACGGCAAGAGTGGGAATTAATGAAATAGAAGAAAGCTAACAATAAGAAATGACAACAAAAATTTGGTGTTTAGAAGAGACATCAATAAATAAAATTCTGTCAAGACTGATAGGATAAGAGAAAGCACAAATAAATAATACTTGATATAAACAACGGGACATAATTTTGGATACAGTCAAGATTACAAACATAAGACAATTCTACAAACAATTTTGTGCCGATAAATTAGAAACCACATAAAAATGAGAATGTACGAAAATATTTTTCTTTGCAAATGTAACTGATTCAAGAACAGAAACCTGAGCAATCTATTATCAGTAAAAATCCAGAGGTAAAAATCTACACACCATCCCAAAAATGCCAGGCATAGCTGGTTTTACAGTCAGTTTTACCAAAAGTTTTAGAAATGTAAAACGCCAATCTTATATATACACTTGTAATGAAAATAAAAGAAAACATTCTCCAATTCAATTTAGGGGGTTGGCATAACCCTGACATAAAAACCAGACAAGGGCAGTACAGTAAAGGAAAAGCTTAAACCACCTCACTTATGAACCCGGATGCTAAAATCCCTCCCAATATCAGAAAACCAAATCCAACAATATATTGAAAAATATATCATGATTCTCTTATTCCAAGAAAGCAAGGATGTTCTAAAGTGAGGGATGTGTCAAGATAGCACACGTTTACGTATTAAAGGAGAAAAACCATGTGGCTAGCTCAGATGGCTACGTGTGCTCCTTGGCGCACTTACATGGGTGGTTGGATGACAAGAGAAGAAAGCTGGGCTGTGTGGGGAAGCCCTAGCAGAAATAACCTGGCTGCAAAGGTCGGTCCTAAAGTGACACAAGTGCAGAGTCCAAAGGGCCACAAATTTCAAACCTAACTGCGGTAGGGTCAGTACTATCAGGCCACCAGCCGCAAGGACCGGCCATGGCGCTGGAGAAAAGGGCCCTGAGAACAGTGGCTCATTCTGGGAAATCTGGTCAGTCACTCATGGTTGGATTCCGCCAAAGTTGGGAAATAGAGATGGGACTCAGCTCCAGAGAATGACAAAGGAGCATGCAGAATACAAGGCCATACTTCCTTCAGGATTCTGAGCTATAACCCACAGGAGCTGAATGGCTGACAAGAGATGGAAAAGTGGGGATTAAAAGATTTGAGGGAGAAAAAAGGCTATTATGTAAGTCACAGAATCACTGAGAGCTGGAGGAAAACCTAAGGCCACGCTTATAGACACAATGTCCAAAAAAAAAAAAAAAATCACACAGTGGGAAATAGTCAAAGGAATATTTAGAGGAAAACTTACTAGCCCAAAATGTATTCAAAAGCAAGACTGAAATGAAATAAATTAACTAAACACATGACTCAGAAGCTACAAATGAGAAATTTGAAGAAAGAAGAAAGGGCCTATAAACACACATTTTGGAGCTAAAGAAAATAAAACACATCAAACACAGGACAGATGTAGTTGGTTTGCTCTCCTCTCACCCCTTGCCTCTTTTCCTGGTGTAAGAACCTCTCTACTCCATGAGAAACAAACGTCGTAAAGATCAGGTGTGGCTCATCTCGCCTCCCCACAATCCCCCATCCCCTTAACTCAGCCCTGGCAACCGTGATTGCTCAGGAGAGAGCAAGTGACCAGAGCAAGACCAACTGGTCTTCCCTGAAATACATGGATCCCGACGAAGGAACTCTTTATCTGACCAAGTGTGAGCTAGAACTTCCTGCAGAAAACACCTGCAGGGAGAAAGGGATTGATCGACCAAGAGGAGCAGAGACGGTCGGAGAACAAACGAGGACGGTCCTCATACTGGCCCGGGCCAGCTCTGCCCAACGCTCTCCTTTCAGAACTCAGGCCAATGAGCTCTGGTTTGCTTCGTCGTTCAAGTTAGATTTTGTCACTTGTAAGAAAGTCCCAAATAATAAAAATTACTACACATGACTTTTTGCCTCCAAAAGCTTAAATATACACAAAACCTGTGATTCCTAAAATGAAGTTACCACAATTGACTTTAGGATGGAAAACTGGAGCAGATAAAATGCCGCAGAAGAAATTAAAAGGCAAAGATCTACCCCTAAACAAGGCATCAAGCACAGATGTTTTTATATTCTATGAAACTTTGAAGAAACAATTCATTTTCTATAAATTATTCAAGCTCGAAGAGAAAGATTAAATGTTTCTAAACCCATTCTACATGCTAGCATAATTGTTATTGAAATGAGACAAGATCATTAAAACAAAAAGTGAAATTGGTTCAGGGAAAAATACAAAAGTCCTAAATAAATATTATACAACTAATCAGGGTTTGCATCGGAATGTAAGACTGGTTCCAGCATTAGGAAACCTATTAACGAAAATTAGTAAAATTAAACAAAATCTTGATTATCTCAGATGTCAAAATTCATCAACGCTGGAAAAAAGAAAAAAACTCTCAGTGAGAAGGAAATACCTTTAGCCTAATAAAGTTTATGTACCAGAATCCTAAAGCAAGATTCATATTTCTTGATAAGACATGAGAACCACTCTTGCTAAGAAAAGAACAAATAAGGGCTCTATTCAACATTATGCTAGAGGTCCTGTCCTCCATAATTCACAAGGAATAAGTATAAAGGATCAAATAAATCTGCCTCTAGATGAATTGACTCTAGCCAGAAAGCTAAGAGAATCAACTGAAAAGCTAATTAGCATTAAATAATTCAATTAGATCAACTGGGTGAGCACACAAAGATGGATGGCTTTCCTATATGCCAGTGATGGTTAGAAATGTAATTTTTAAAAACCCATTCATAACAACAAATAACTCTAAAATTCCTAAGGCTAAGCTGAAGTAGGAATGTGAAAGACCCATATGAAGATGATACCTTAGAAAAGAAAGGACACGCCTCGTTTCTGGATAGGAAAATTCAAAACTGTTAAGATAGCACTTCTCTCCAAATCAAACTGAGATTTAAATTAATGCCAATGAAAGTCTCAACAGGACTTTTAAATGAAATTTAACAAGTTCATTCAAAACTTTTCATGTAAGAGAAGACATGAAAATATGAAAATTTCAAGGACGAGTGGGGCAGGGTTGAGGGAGCTGTACCAATCATGCTATAAAACCTATGTGCACACAGATCAACAGGACAGGTTAGAAATCCCAAAGAGAGCCATCTGTTTGCAGGAATACAGTTTATTTTAAAAAGGTATTTTAAATCGGTGAGGAAGGAATGACCCATTCAATAAATGGTATAGGAACAAGTGGTCATCTCTTTAGGAAAAAAGTTCTCTCATAAAAACCAAACTTTAGTTAAAAACAGATATACACACACTTCTTTACCTTGACTGATTTTTCGTGTGTATATGTATGGACACATGCATTTTAAATGTATGCACATACACATACGTGCAAATATATACACGTATGTATTTAAAGCTATGCTAAGTAAACATAAGAGAAAATGAAAAGCAGATAAAGGAGAAAAGGTTGGCGTTCCCTTGGAGTACAATGGGAAGTAAAGAGGAAGATCCACAAGTACGTTTTTAAGGTTGATTATGGGGTGGTGAGAGTTCCCATTAATGGCTATTTCTTGAAGTACGAGCTGTGTTAACTAGCAGGGGAAGGAGGAATTGGTGGACAAGACAGAAGTGTCGAAATACAACATTCCAGAGCAGATCTTCCAGGCAGTGCCAAGTGTCCATCTGAGGTTTGTTATTATGAATTTCAGGTAAAACAAGTGAGCCAGGTTGGCAGTTTTCTCTAACAGTTACTTGGGCACAGGCACAGAGGTGAATGGCTGGGTTGGCCCAGGTTAGGTTTTAGTAGATGAATAAAATGGAGGAAAACACGGGAATGGAAGGTGTCTGTCATGGAATCCATGTTGCACAGGGGAGAAGTGAAGATAGAATAATGGTGGGAAAGCGGCAGGGCTGGTGGATGGAGATAAAGAGTTTTTGCAAAGGGGGTAGTTGAGCGAGTAAGCAAAAAAGCCAGGAGGCGGTGACTACAGGTATTTGAATTCAAAAGCTGCTGCAATTTCTATTGATGTCAGGGGTCCAGGGAGTAGGGATGTAGACAGAGATGTAGGCAGCAGGCATGAAATAGAAGTGCATTAGTGATGGGGCTATCAAGGAACTAGAGGGTCAGTGTTGAATGGGCCCACCAGGGGACGCAGAACAATGATATAAGGGTAAAAGACTGTAAACTGGGTGGTAAACTCTTCAATGTCTGATCAGTGATTAGAAGGTCAATGCCAGCAATGAAGAGGAAGAGTGTATAACCAGAGGTAAAATCTTCAAAGGAGAAATGGGATGATATGGTTTATAAGAGGGCTGAGGAATGATAGTCTGAGTAGCCACACGGAGGGCACCAACCTGGGGATGTACACAGCAGCACAGAAGTGGACACTCCTGCACTCACGGCTGACAAAAAAGGCAGGGAAAGCAGCATACAAGGCATAGGAAATTCATCCTGAGTGTTTCTCAGAGGCAAGACTAGGTCCTACAGCTGTGATCCTGAATGTCTGAATCAGTACTGACTGTGAGCAGGAAATGAGTGGGACTGTTCCCAGTTATTAAATACGTGCAAGGAGGCACAACACAGGGCCTGGCACTTACTAAAGGCCCAACGAGAGAGAACCTAGGAAAGACTCCAGCCATCTGCCATTTCCTGCCCATTCAGCCCAGCTGCCCATGGGGCTTCCACCAAGGAGCAGTTTTTAACCACTACAGGTCCCTCCTTCCTCCAGAGAGCCACTCGGACACCAGCACAAGTCACCACCCACCAGGGGTTTAATTCTCCTAGGTCAGAAGGTCAGTTCAGAGAGGGGTCCTGCCTTGTCCCCATCCGGGGGGGAAGATCTGCAGAGCACCCTGGGAACGTCCAATCTCAGAGGAGCCAAGGACAAGTCTCTGAGTGAAGTGGATCCTGGGGTCTCAGGATGCCTCCTCCTCTTCGCTCTCCTCCTCACTCTCATGATACTGTCTGCGGTTGGTATTAACGAAGAGGTCAGAATCATCTTCAGAGCTGGATTCTTCTGATGACTGTGGCTCAGTTGGGAGTTCTGGCTGAGTCTGTCTTCATGGTAGGAAAGGACAGAGTTAGCCCAGTGCCTTCTGGGAAAACCATATTTGCAATCAAGGAGCCCATATGACCAAGCAGTCAGGGCTCAGTAAGTCGGATGGGGAGACAATCAAAAGGAAGACCATGTGGCCAAGCAGTCAGGGATCAGTAAGTCGGATGGGGAGACAATCAAAGCAAACGGCAAAAAAACTTGGCCAAGGAAAACAAGGTAAAGACCACCCCCTACCTCCACCTCAAAAGTTTACTAGAGCCACTATTTTTAGTAATGATTCTACTACCACCAACTAACATGCAATGGATCCACACTGCATAACAAGTACTATGCTAAGAAACCTTATAAGCTTTAACTCCTTTAATCTTTACAAGGCTCCCATTTGATAGGTAAGGAAATCCAGGCTTAAGAAGGTTAGCAGCCTCTTTAAAGTCATTTGGTTACAAGTGGCAAAGCCAGGATTTTAACCCAGCACACCTGACTTTCAAGCCACTTGCCTAGCCACATACATAAGAGCTCTCACCTGGGACCCTACATAGGATAAAAGGAAGGCTCTACTTCCCCTTCAAGGTACCAAAGTCTGAACCCCTATTTCCTGTTTTTCCTACCCTCAGGCTTGATCCTCACCTGTTCCTGTTGTTGTGTTTCTCAGCCACTTCAGAGAAGGCCTCAGGCCTGTGCCAAGAGAAAACCAGGTTCAGAAAGGACAGAGAAATCTCACAACATAAAAGCTGTTTCCAGCTGTCCCTGCTTGGGGTGCCATAATCTCACAGCTAGGAAGTCGACCCCCCAGAAATCAGGCAGCTTATGATCAAGGGGAGCACCTACCAGAGCCCCTCCTTCTGCAGGGAACGCACATGGTCTTTGCAGAGCACAAAAGAGATCTCGGCCTTCACCTTTTCTCCTTCTTCAATAGGGTCGACAATGAGAAAGTCCCCTGTAGGTAGAAAGGAGAAAAGACAGTCAGTCAGTCCAGCTTTCACTGGGGGAAGTCAAGACCACAGGAAATGGTTCTGCCTCCTAGAGGGCTACCTCTCTCACCTCTCTTGATCCAGATGTTCTTGCGGTATTTGGAGGGCATGCTCACCAGGAAGCGCTGCCCTTGGGCTGTCTCCACTTCATGCAGATTGTTCCCTGGGGTCCTGAGTACCTAGTGCAGGGAGAGACCAAGAACCAGTGAGCCTCATCTACCAGCTCCAAGACCCACTGAGCTGCACTGTACCCTCCCCCGACCCCAGGGAGTGGACGGGTGAGAGGCAGAGCAGCTTGTGACCAATGCTACTCACCCTCACAATCTGCTGCTGGTCGGAGGGTACCATGTGCTCCCCTAGCACCTCCTTCACCACATGCTTCCTCTTGGTGGCCTGAGACATGCTGGGTTCTGTCCAAGGCGGGTGAGGGACGCAAAGGCTGTCAACTTTTGCTCTTGAGTTTCTTGGATGGCAGGTTCAGAACCCAGGACTGTTTTGAAGATGGGGAAGGGCTTTTTACTGAAGAGGGACAAAGTGTCCTGATTAAGAATATGGGCTCTGAAATCTAATTGCTTGGATTAAAAACCTACTTGACTATTTCCTATGGATGAAAAAAAGGGGATCTATGGAAAGTGACCTCACAGGGTGATCTGATCATAAATTCCTAAATAGGCAGATAATGATCGATGGTCACATCCCGTACCTACAACTTTAATGAAAGGTTTTTAAGCCAGCCAAGTAATACCCCTCGAAGAGGTGACCACCCTCAAGAGAGCACACAATGTCATTAACTATCTTGTAATCCAACCCCCATCTTGCTGTCCCCCATCATGTAATCTTCCTTAGATCCCTCCTTAATTTCAAGTGCATAGAGCAAACTGAAAAACTGTTATTCTCTGGAACATCTGAGATCTTGCTCCCCAAAACAGGTCATCAGTTTGGCTCAAATAAACTCTTGTAAAAATTTTCTACAGGTTCGGACGTTCCTAATTGTTCAACTGAAAAAAAAATAATACCTAACCCAGAACATTGTTATTAGGACGAGATGATGTAAACAAAGCACTTAATGCAGTATATGGCACGTAAAAATAACTCGTTATCATAAGCACTGGCATAATCATGAAAACTACATAGATGATTCCAGCACCTGCTCAGGAAGGAGTGTGAGATAAACTGTATCTTCCTCACCATGCTTTGTACATCCCCAAGTGTAGCATCGCCACACTATACAGATGCTCAATCTCCCAACACGCTACAGGCAGACCAGTTAGGAGACAACCGCGACGGCCCAAGCCAGGATCGAGTTCATTAAAGGTCGGGGGAGCCGGCCTGGTCTGCGGCCTCTGCTGTATTTCTGACTTGGGTTCTGAGGAGACAAGAACTGGCACCGCCAAGACTGGTAGTTTCCAAAGGAAACTCCGAAGCGTCACCTCTAGTTGCCGTTCTCTGCCCTCCCCGCTCCACGTCCCGGAGTAAAGACGCTCAGAGAGACCCACACTTACTTTCCGGCCCTCTTCTCCCACGGGCACTGCCTCAACGACCCGGTTCTCCAGGATGGACGCTGGGAGCGGCTCGTCCACGACTCACTTCTCAGCTGAGCCAATGAAGGCACAGAAAAGGAACCTGCCAGCGGTCACGATGGCGCCTCCGGTTCCTGCCCGACTCCTACAAGCCCCACGGCGCTGAGGACGACAGCCCTGCGCCTGAGTAGGAGCCCTGCGAGCGCCCTTCTTCCGGCGCTCTCTCGGAAGCCTCCGGCCACCCGCCCCCGCCTTGTCCGTCCTTCTAACTCTTCCCACCGCCAGGCTGGCCAAGACTAGGTCCTTGAGTTCCGGATGCCGTGCAGCGGGGAAATGAAGTTTTATCCACCGAGGACTCCGCTCCCTGACACCGGAAATGCTGCCTCAGAAAGAAGACCATAGAAGGCAGCCAGGCTTCTCGCGAAGCGACAGGAAAGGAGCCCCTGCTAAGGCCGCCGTAGAGGTCCAGAGCGCCTCATCTCTATGGCTCTACGCGGCTAGAAGTGCCAACTTTAATTTTTCAGGCGGTTCTTGAAGCGACCCGGAAGCGGAAGTAGAAGAAAGTTCTAGTGGGTTGAGGTATCGGCGGGAGCAGCCGTGCGGCGGGAGTAGCCGTTACAGGAATTGGAGCTGCCGGTGAGCGCGAGCCGCGGAGCACGGCCCAGTCTGGAGGCCAGAGGAGGCGCAGGGAGGAGGGGAGGAGAGGAGCCGCAATTGCTGCGGCGGGCCAGAGGACGCGCCCTGGGAGACGGCTTGGCGACCGGGCGGAGAGGGGCGGGACGCGGCGCGGCAGCGCGTGGAGGGGGCGGGGGGGCGCGCGTGGGGGGCGGGGCCGGCGGAGGTCCAGGCGTGAGCCCCGGCGTGGACCCGCTGGGGCTGGGGAGTAGGTGTAAGTGCTCCGGCCTGCACCTGTGCTCTGTGAGCAGCCTGTAGAGCGGGTGGGGCAGAGGGACCCTTTGTTTGCTTTGCAGGCCAGGTAAGCCGTTCCAGGCAGGGTAGGGTCACTGCCTTCTTTGCCCAGCCAAGGTCACAGAGGGAGTGACACCTTCAGGGCAAGCCCTGGCTACTGACTCTGGGCATCTTTCCCCTGCCGCGCGTGCACCACCTGTTAAAGCGGGATACTCTTTCCTCTGGGGCAGTACCAAAACCCAGTTCCCGCAGGAAGTGGGAGAAGTTTGTCTATAGAGTGGTGGACGAAAATCCTTGGACCTCAGTGTTCTTATCTGTTAAATAAGAGGCATCGATAAGCCACCATAAGGGCTGGTCTGGCTTCTTTTTAACGCGAGATTGCCAGTGAGACTTTGGGAGTTTCCGGTTTTCAGCCTTAACCTACTTTTCTTGGGATTCCTAGATTAATCCTGACCAAGATGACAACTTCTCAAAAGCACCGAGACTTCGTGGCAGAGCCCATGGGGGAAAAACCGGTGGGGAGCCTGGCCGGGATCGGTGAAGTCCTGGGCAAGAAGCTGGAGGAAAGGGGCTTTGACAAGGTGTGGGGAGGTTGCATACATCTGGGGAGGGCTCCGCGGTTGGAGGGGGCAGACTGCAGTATCGCCTGGCAGTTTGGGAGTGAGGACAGTGAGTACCTTTGGGGGGCGAACAGCGGTATACGATCTGAAAAGATAGCCAGAGCCTGCACTGCCTGCTAGGTACGTGTGCTTTAAATGCTGCAGAAGTGGCCTTCTTGTTCTTAGTCCCACAGCACTGAGCAGCATGCCCTTTACTTTGCACGTTTGCAGGCCTATGTGGTCCTTGGCCAGTTTCTGGTGCTAAAGAAAGATGAAGACCTCTTCCGGGAATGGCTAAAGGACACATGCGGCGCCAATGCCAAGCAGTCCCGGGACTGCTTTGGGTGCCTTCGAGAGTGGTGTGATGCCTTCTTGTGATGCCCTCTGGGGAGCCCCCAATCCCTAGCCCCATCCTTGAGTCTCCAGAGTTCGCAGCCAAGTGGGGGCTCCTCCCCTGTCCTCTACAAAGGAAATGATTGCTGTCTACTCACCTCCGATGTCCTCCAGGGTCTTCAGGGAGTTCTCTCCCCTCACCATTTCAATTTTTGGGAATTCTTGCTCTTGCATGCATATTCCTTCTTCCCCGGCCAGTTTCGTGTTAATAATTACCAGCTTTTCTGAACAGATTCCTGGTCCCTTCCCTCATCCCCACCCTCAACTCTGGTCTGTTTTATGCTATTTGGCTTCTCTTTTGGCAGAACAGTCACTGTCGTTATAAAAACTTTTTGAATCAATAAAGTCAGTGGCCTTTAAGACTGGACTTTGTGAGTTGAAAAGCAGGTGGGCTGAGCAGCTCCGCCACAACCTTATCAGTGCAGCTCGAAACTGGCAGCTTCCTCCTCCGGAGGGCAGCCACCCTCGCCACATAAGCCTCAGGCACGCACCTCTGAGTGTCTCAATCCCTTAGTAATGAGAGAGTGGGTTGATCTCTTCCTGGGATCCAGATGGGTTGTGGTGTTCCAGATGTTGAGTGAATCAACAGCTGGGACAGGCAGCACTTGGTGGAAAAGTCAGTGGGAGTCAGGTACCAGGAAGAGGAGGACCGAATGTGGGTAAAAGTTCACTTAATCATGTGCCTTCCCGGTCTCTGGGAGGAGTGGGCAGGGCCCTTGCCACCTGCCCTGCTCTCTTAAGGAGGCAGAAGGAGCATGGGCATCACGGCTGGGAGGCTGAATGAGTTACACTCTCCCCTGGTACATTTTCATCCTATTCTTGGTTGAACACTTAGTGAACCAGGCCCACAGCTAAGGTCTTTGCAAACGTTTTCTTCCACAATAAGTAATTTTCTTTCTGTTTTACAAATGAGGAAACCAGGGGTTCAGAGAGACTAATATGTCTGTGGACTTAGTGCTAGGAAGTGTCCCAGCTGTCCCTCAAAACACATCTTGGAAGCCCATGCGGCTGAGAGCCCTCTGTTCCTAGGTCAAGTCACTCAGCCTCTGTGAGCCTCGGTTTCCCCACTTGGAAAGTGAGGTCATAAGGATCAGATGACATGCTAGCTGTGCAGCACCCAGCCCTGCTTGGCTGGCAGTCCTTCAGGAGAACCTTGTTGAGGAACTTTCCTCAGACAGCTTACAGTCTGGTGAGAGGCTGACAGATATATGTACAAAATTTTTAGTAGCTAATAATGAAATTCATATTATAAAATACAGAAGCTAGGATAACGAGCAGATTTTTGTGATCCCAGGGTAGGGGAAAAATAAAAAGTTGATAGATTCAACTCCATTAATAGAAACTCCGTCGATCTAAAGATATAAAGTGGGTGACGGACGAGACTAACGCAGTGAGAAAGGATATTTGCAACACAAACGACAAAAGACTATCCAGAGCATGTGCATAACTGCAGTGAAGAAAAAGCAACAGAAAGTTGGGTAAGAGACCTGAAAGGCAGACGTGAGAGGGACACCGAAATGAAGACTCAGCTGTGAAAAGGTGCCCAGTTACATTAGTGCTCAGAAATGCAAATGAGGTGCAGTCATACACTTGCTAGATTGGCAGAAATTTTAAAGCCAGACCATACCAGGTGCTGATGAGGGAATGGAGTGACAGGAACTGATATCCAGCTGGTGGGAATGTAAATTGGTCTGAACACTTAGGAAAAACAGTTGGGCGTTTTCTGAAAAAATGGAAGACCCACCCTGTGACCCAGCACTGCCGCTCACACCTGCTCCAGTACCTTTGTGAGCCTTCGCAGCAGCTTGTTTATGACAGCTCCCAACTGGAAGAACTCTGATGGCTGTCAAGATCTTGAACATGGATTCATGACATCTATGGCACAACAGGCGAATCTCAGTACAGAGCAAACATCAAGTAGCGTGATTCCATTCTTGCTTAGGGATCTCTACAGAGGTGGTAAAACTAGAAGAAAAGCAAAGAAATGCTTATTGTAAAAGTCAACAGTGGTTGCCTTTGGGAGGTGGGTGAAGAGCGGGTCAGCCCGGGGGTAGGAGCGGCAGTTTCGTTTCTTAACCTGTGTGGTGGTGGTACAGGCATTGACTTAATTATTTGTTAAAGTGAGCAGACATATTCTGTGTACTTTTCTGTGGATGGCTCCGTCTCCGAAGAGTAGAAGTAGAATAAAAGGGAAACCAAAATAAAGACCCAGATATAGAGCAGTTATGTGAGTAGTCGGCAACTATGATGGTTATTAGGGATGAGGGTTCAATGCAAGGCTGGGTCTGTGACGTGTGAGTGACCCCCCTGGGAAGGCACCAGGTGGCCAGAGCCGGGTCCGGCTTGTGTTACAGGCCATTTCCTGGGAGGGTGTCAGCCTACAGCCCAGAGCGAGGTAGTAATGTGGGCTGTCCCAGGAGTTTTGGGCCTACTGTGTTTCTGATGGTTTTCCTGGATGGGTGTAGGGTGACGTCAGAGTCCCTTCAGCCTTGACAATGGTGCTGTGTTGCTGTCACACAGGCCCGATGTGCTTTGTGGGGGCAGGTGCTTTGCATGGCCACAGTCCCCCGATCTCAGCCCTGACACTGCCACATTGTTGCTGGCACTCTGTGAGGTAATGGAGACTGCTTCCTCCACAGCAGCTTTCCTGGGGGTCCTGCCCACAGGAGTTGCCACAGTTTCGCCACCTGTGACTCTGGTACTGGGGCCCGTCCAGCTCTGCTTCTTCGTCATGGGCTCTTCCCTGCCTCACCCACCTGCTTTCTCACCTCTCCCTTGGGGCTCAGACAGTACCTGTGACAGGTTGGAAAGGCCGAAACCCTTTATCTGAGCCCCACAGTACATCCCACACAGCTTCCTGGATCAGTCCTGGCAGCAGGAGACAAAGGGCATCTGGAGTGTATTTTGTGACAGTGTGGCCTCTCAGAGATCCAACTCCAACTCAGCCATAGGACGAGGCCCCAGGCCTGGCATGTTGGGAAAAGCAGACCTAGTTGGGGACAGGTAGGAATCAGATTATCTAAATGTCAGTCCACGTTTGCCAACAGGATGGGCTTGGTGAAGGGCGGGCGTGGAAGTCAGCAAACACTGACCCGGTGTTATTCTCGCTGCAGCTGCACCCAGCCACAGCTTGACCCTCTCAGCCAGTCGAGTCACGAGGGCTTAGGTCTGGCCCAGAGCTTGGGGTGAACTCAGCCCCTGCACTCCAGGGCCCTGAAGTTGTCCTGCTGTCACTGAAGTAGGGGGTGGCTACAGACAAACCCGAGCCTGGTACATCTGCCTGGTGGCAGCCCAGATGGTGTGAAGGTCTCACAGTACATGCTCATGACAGTCAGCCCCCCTCCCATGTCGCCTCCTTCCTGCAGGGACCCAGGGCTCTACTGTCACTCTTGGCCTTGATTGGCGGTAGCCTGAAACAGCCGGCCTGGTTCTGGTCTCAATTATTCCTTTATTTGCTGCGTGACCTGGAGCAAGTTGCCTCCCTGCTCTGACCCCGCATCCTCTGTCAGCGGTGCAGGATTGTGAAGGTTCCATCAGCTGATGGATGTGAAGCCCCCACACTTAGGAGAGCTCTCCACAGCGGGGAGCTTTCATCACTGCGGGATCATGGCTTCCCTGGCCCGGGGGCGAAGGGGACATCAGGGCCCATCCTTGTCAATAAGACCCATCAGCCAGCAGCAAGAGAGGGCTGCCATGGGCAACCTGGGTTGGGATGTCTGGGCCACAGCAAAATGAGGCTGTGCCCTGTGGCCAGTGGGGATGGCCAACCTTGAGCTCACACCTGGCTCAGGCCTGCTTCTGGAAGCCATTATGATCCGGTCAGGGTGAAGTCCAGGCTAAGGGCTCTTCTCCCGATAAGACTCAGCCCTGGGAAGTCCTCCTGGGATACCCTCCCTCCAGGGACACTCCCCTCACACAGCAGACCTTGTATCCCGGTGGAGCAGTCCAGGACTTACACACTCACACACTAGGAGGCTGGCACATAGGGGCCACCCAGGCCCCACCACTGACCCTTCCTCTTTGACCCTCCTCATTTCTTCTTTGTAAAACAAGTAATATTCTTTAAAAAAAAAAAAATTTGTTAACCAATGGTGACATTGGTTAACAAAATCCAGTAAGTTTCAGGTGTACAACTTAACAGTGAGGCATATTTATGTTGCGTTGTGTGTCCACTAAACTGGTTCTATTCACTGCTCTGCAGAGCTGTTTTGAGGGCGAGAGGACATATGCTGAGTCCCTGGCACATATCAGGAACACAGTAATTGTTGTTTTCCCTTCCCCCATCCCTCTTCTCACTGAGACCCCAATTCTTGCCATGTGACCTCAGACAAATGTCCTGCCCTCTCTTCATCTGTAAAATACAGATGATGCTGAAGGACAGGGTACTTGTGAGAACAGACGAGTGGGTGAAAGGTCTTTGGTAATTGTTAGGCTTGGGTGCAAAAGACTCATCAGCGTCAGTGCAGAAGAATCACAGCATAGGGACAAGTGAGCTGGGAACCGGGCCTTGACTAGTTTTCCAGGGAGCTGTTGGAGGTAAGTGGTCATGGCTGAACTCCAAGTGACAGGAAAGCAGAACCGGGAGAGCCTGAGGGGGCTTCTGGCCCCTTGGGGCTGCCTCTCCCACCTCTCCCCTGTGTCGTGGTCCCAGGCCTCTCACGCTCCCCACTCCTGGCTTCTCTCTGGTCCGGTACCTGCCTGGCCTGGGCCTCCTCATCAAGCCAAGCTTGCGCCAGCTCTCCCACAAACAGGGCTCTGTCCCTTTAAGGCAGACACCTGAGCCCACAACAAACTTGTGACTGTTCCTTGGAATCCCAAAATTGTTTTTCCCAGCTGGGCTGAGAAGGTGGGGTAGCAGCTGGCCTGGGCAGTGACTGCACTCCAGTCCTGGGGAATTCTGGATGCTTACTCATACTGTTCACCACGGTGCTGCTCTCCCTTGAACAACTCAGAGTTAGGGGCACCAACGACTGTCCCCCCACCTCTCTGCAGTCCAAAATCCGTGTATAACTTTGACTCCCCCAGAATTTAACTGCTAATAGCCTACTATTGACCGGAAACCTTCCCCCCCCAGAATTTAACTGCTAATAGCCTACTATTGACTGGAAACCTTCCCGATAATATAAATAGATGATTAACACACATTTTGTATGTTTTATGTGTTACATACTGTATTCTTAAAGTAAGCTAGAGAAAAAATTAAAATCGTAAGAGAAATACATGACAGCATTTATCGAAAAAAATCCACACATGAGTGGATCCATGCAGTTCAAACCCATGTTGTTCAAGGGTCATCTGTAATTATTAACCACTTATTAAAGCACCAGCTGTCACATACCACAAACCATTACCTCTTCCAAGCCCCACTCAGGGTCCTTGGCCCTAAGCACTCATCAGATCTTAGTGTCCCAAGGGCAAAAAGCCCCGCCTCCCTCAGCAACATGATTAAAAGTACAAACTACGTTGGTTTCTAAAATAACAGATGAATCCCAACAAAATCCAGCCTCCCTCATGTTGACTACAGTGCTTCTTAAAAACATGTTCGAAATCGGATTATTCCATGAAAGTCATCCTGCCTTGTTTTGGTGGTACCTCCAGCCCATGCCCCACTTACCTACGGGTGATCTAGTCTCAGGCCATTCATAGACTAACTTTAGAAGATAAGAGTTGTCGCCTATCTTCAGGTGAGGACACTGAGGCTCTGGGAGGTGCAGGGGCTTGTCAAGAGGCATCCAGTTAGTTAATGGCAGAACTGGTACGACTCACGCCCCTCCTCCTGGCGGGCTCTCAGTCGTCAGTCTCAGTCTGGTTAAGAGCACAGATTTGAGTTATATTGCCCAGGCTCCAAAGCCAGCATCACCATTTACTGTGTACCAGCTGGTGCCCTTGGGCAAATCGATTGTCCCCTCTGTGTCCTGTCTCCTTTCCTGTTAAGTGGAAACATGACTGATTCTCACTTGGTGCTGGCTGAGGGTTAAACAGCGCGTGGCTCAGTGCAGCAACGTCCCACTTTGCTGCATCGCATCGCTCCTCCAAATGCTTCGCCTACTGAATCCACAGGACCCCATTCACAGAGGAGGAGACTGAGGCAATGGGATTAGGTTAAGTGACTTTTCCACGGTTACACGGTAAATGGTGGTGATAATAAGAGCTTGCTAATAGCTGTTGTTGGTATTTCCTATTGGATAGCCCTGCCTGCGAACTGCCCCAACGGTGGCACTTGTTGCTTCTGGGAACTGTCCTTTTCCTCACAGGACTGGGTGTGTTCTGGAGTGATGGGCAAGCATCGTGGCACACAGGTGTGCGGGGGGGGCCTGTCTGCTGCCTCCCTCTGCGCTGGGAAGGTGCCCTTGCTGGACTGCCCAGGCCGAGGGATTTCTCCCCGCCCGCGCCCGCGGGGGCGCACAGCGGCGTAGGGCGGGGCTGGGCGGGGCTGGGCGGGGCCTCAGCCAGTAAAAGCGGCGCGGGCCACAGCCTCGGCACTGAAGACCATGGCACAAGCGAACCTCCAGCTGGTGCTGGGCCTGGCCCTGCTCGCGGTCTGCCTCCTGGCACTGCCTCGCGACGCCGGGGCCCGACCACAGGAGGTCATGGTCGGAGGAGTGCAAGACCTGTCGCCTAGTGACCCGCAGGTGCAGAAGGCAGCGCAGTCGGCCGTGGCCAGCTACAACATGGGCAGCAACAGCCTCTACTACTTTCGCGACACGCACATCCTCAAGGCGCAGAGACAGGTGCGGCTGGGTTGGCGGGGCAGGGAGAGGGGAGTGAGCCCTCAGCGCCCGTGCCAGATTAAGGGGGAGCCACGAAAGCAAGCAGGATATTTTAACAATATAGCGTTAAAAACCGAATTAATGATGAACAAAATATCTAAATTTTAAATCGACAGGATGCACCTCTGCCCTTGCATAGCTACCTCACCAGTCTCACATGGGCCCTGGCCTGCGGGTTGCTGGGGAGCGGGTGAGGGGGATGAGCGGTGGGCTTCAGGACAGTGTGAGCCCTTGGGTCTTAGCCCCCTTCGTGGCCCAGACCTCTGCCTCCCATCCCAGGGATCCCCAAAAGAATGCTTCTGTCCCAGGTCTGAGTCCCAAGGCCAGTGTGCTGGACGTCTAGGGGAATGGAATGGGAGATGGGAGAGAGGTAACTGGTGAGGGTCAGGGGTAGTCTCCCGGCACCCTGACCTGCCCCTGCCCTCTGTCCCAGCTGGTGGCTGGCGTCAAGTACTACCTGACCTTGGAGATGGGGAGCACCGACTGCCGGAAAAGTGCAGTGGCTGGAGACCACATAGACCTCACCACCTGCCCGCTGGCCGCAGGAACGCAGGAGGAGGTAACAGCCCTGCACACGCGCATGCATGCCCTGCCTCCTCGCACCCAAGGCCCCTGAACTGGTCTGGCTGGCCAGGTTGATGTCTGGCCCAACCTGTCCCTGCTTTTTGGATGACTCAGCTGCAGGCCAGGGTGGGGTGTAGAGAGGAAACTGCGGCTTCCCCCTAAAGGAGTTGACTAGAAAGACCCAGGATCTAGTCCCAGCCATCTGACTCGATGTCCCGTGTGCCAGCAACTGCCCCTCCTTGTGGGCAGAGGGCTGACTGTTGGGAGGCGGCAGGCCTGGACCTAGGCTCACCCCTCCTTTTCTCCCCATGCTCTATTTGCAGAAGCTGCGCTGTGACTTCGAGATCCTTGTGGTTCCCTGGGAGAACTCTACAAGACTTCTAAAGCATCACTGTGTGCCCGTGTAGTAGGCCCCAGTGCCATGGGGCGGGAGGGCACAGGCCCATTGGCGGAGGGCACTTCGGGTCCATGGGTCACATCCGTCGCAATAAATCACTAGCACTACTTCTTGTGTCGGTCTCTTCTGAATGTTTCACTCCTCCCCTTCTGTCCCCCACTCCCTCTCCTAGAAGCCCCCCTCCCCCAGCTAACAGGGTACCCATACCACCACCAACTGAACTTCTGCTGTCCCAGCCCAGACAGTGCTGAGGGTACGGGGTTCAGCCCCCAAATCTGGAGTCCCCGAAACACCTCAGCATCACCGACAGAGGAACAAAACTCCAGAGACTCAATATTCTCGGCCTTAAGTGGTCACAGGACCAGATGGTACACGCAGCAGTAAGGGTGGGAGTCGGTGAATGCTCTGAGGAGCACCTGAGCGCTGCTCCCCCTCAGCCCCCAGGAGGACTTAGGGTGACACATGGGGAGTTTAGCCAGCAGGGCCCCAGGACTCTGAGCTCCCAGCCCGTGAGATTCTTCTACCCACATGTGGCCCAGGGATGGCGGGCAAGACCCTGGGAGGGGGATGGACAGGGCGCTCCAAGGGGACACAAGTCAAAACTGCTGCCCGCAAGAGGGATGGGGGGCACATGCAATTTAATGGCATTTAAAGAAAAAAGTTGCAACATTTTTTGTACATCTGAATTTGTGGCTGCAATTCGTACTTGCTACACAGACACACCCCAGAATGCCTCAACACACTATACACACACACAGAAACCCACAACACACACTCCGATGCTCCCAGACACTACATGCATATCCAGGAAAACACAAACACAACCTAGCAACCCAGAAGCACAGACACAAACACACAGAAGCACCACCGCCCCAAGAAATAACTTGGAGATGTATACACAGACCCCCCCACACACACAACCCCAGAGATCCACATGCCCCTCCCAGAGCTATGCCTCATTTGCAAAAAAGCACACCCACACCTGGGACGTGATGGGGCAGTGACTGGATCCCTTCGGAGCACTAGGCGTGGGCATCATTAAGCCCAGTCAGAACTGCAGTTGCTATGGAGAGCACTCCCACCCCTGCCTGCTGCCACTCCAGGCAAGGCCTCACGTAGTCCCCTGCCTAGCGCTGGAATAAATGAGGAAAATCCCCTTGCCCCTCATCCGGGCCCTGCCTTCTGCCCTCAGAGGCCACATTGGGGATGAAAAACAGACATGATGTCTCTATGGAAGGCTGTGTTGCCAAGGGGCTGGGTTTGACAGGAGTTAGGGATACAGGGGAACTTTCCAGTCCTGCTTCTGCTCAAGATGTGGCAGCTCAGACAGCCCATGGGTAGGTGGTGAGGCTGCCGCTTGGGAGGGCTTCCATGTGCCACCAAGCAGGAGCTTTCAGCACTGGGCCGGCACAGAGCAGGTGGCAGGAAATGCTTGCCGAATGAATGTTTAGATGGTGGAGAGAGGCGAGGCTGGAGGTATCTGCCAGGTGGCCTCTCCGCCCCCGGAATCTGTGTCCAAATCCCAGATGGCATTTCCTCTGGCTTCTATTCCTGGGCCCAGGGCCAGCCAGTGCCCTCGGCTGGGCCATGGGAGGGAAAATGCTGCTTCTGTCCTGGGGCCTGGAGGCTTTGCCACCATTTCGTCAGGCTTAGAGGTACAGGGTTGGCTGGCAAAACTATCTGTCACCCCTCAGCCCCCACTCCAAAGTCCCACTCTTGATCCCATCCAGCCTGTACTGCACGCTGGCTTCATTCTATTAGGGTGAGGTGAGTGTCGTAGATAGTGGAGGACCCCTCCTCTGTACAGGAGCTCTCAGGGCCCAGGCCAAGCTTGTGCTTGACCCAGTGCTAGGTCTCCAGCACCCAGCACAGGCCCAGGCATTCGTAGACCCTGGTTGTGCCCCACTACCACCACCGGCTATGGGGACAGGGTCTCTGGGCATCCTGCCTAGGCTCAGGCTGAAAGCAGGAGGACTCGTCTGAGCCCCAGACAGGGTTGGGAGCAGCCATCAGCCTCACTCCATGCTTTCCCCTGATGGCGGGCTGGTCCATTCCACACACGCCCCACTATGTCCCCCGCACCCCTGCCCCATCCTGAGGAAAGAAAGAAAGGACTGAAGCGGCGTCCACTCTGCCTCCCTCATGGAGGCTCTTCAGTCTGATCTCAGGAAGGGAAGGGTAGGCAGTGATCTCTGACCTCCGGGTTCATGACATTCTCGCACTGGCCGCTGAGGCTGCTGGTAGGCCTGAGTTCCTGGGCTCTAAGGCCTGTTTCTGGAGCCTACTGGTTCTCCCACAGCGTGACAACAGATGGCTGTTCCAGCTTTGTCTTTGTCGCCTAATATCTGGGCTAGAAGGGCCTTCCTCTCTGAAGCAGGGGGACTGTCACCTCTCCCTCCAGCACTGAGCCTGGCCCACTTTCTGGGTTACTCCTCTGGCTGCTACAAACACACTGCTGGACCAAACTAGGATGCTGGGCCCTGATGGGGCTGGAGGGGACCATGAACAGTGGCTTTCACATGTAACACTCGCATACACACACTCAAGTGTGCACACACACGTGCACACACAAATTCCCCTCCCCCATGCCTCAGCCCAGCCAGTGAGGACACAGAGCTACCTGGGGTTTTAAAACTCTTTTGGGGCCCAGCCCTTCAGGCCTGGCAATCATTCCAGTACATCTGGAGACTTGTCCCAACCCACCCCGGTGGGACGCTTGACAAAGGGTGAAGTCTGTATCCAGTGTCCCTGTCCAGGGGTCACTTCCTGAAGTCTTCTTCTCCAGCCTGTGGGGCGGGATGGGAGGGCGGCTGAGCCACAGACCTCTGCTTTCCCGAATGCCCATGTGACTGTTACTCAGGGCCACTACTGGGCACGGGCCCCCCTGCCTGGCCTTCTGCATCCCCCCTCCCTAGCCCCTCCCTTCCGGTCCAGACCGGTTCACCTCAAATGCAGTGTCCACAATTTCATCAATGACAGTTGCCTGGGAGCGAAATTTCTGTTGATAATGCTCCACCCCAGCCATCAATTGGAGAAAGTGGAACAGTTGCTCCTGCTGCCTGGGGGTGAAGGGGGCAGAGGTGAGCCTTGGCCAACCTGCCTGGCTGCGACTTCTGGGCCCCCAGAGCCTCCGAGATGGCTCTTCTTGCTTGCCTGCCCGCTCACCCACACTCTCACATCACCCTAGACCTCCATTTCTAGCCATGGTCACAACTTTTCTGAGTGTGGCCTTTCATGGTATGTCTCCTTTGCCACATATAAAAAAGCCACACCCTGTACCACAGAGAGTTCTATTAATTGTGTACTCTCCCAACCCTCTATCCCTCCATCCGTCCATCCTCTGCCTGCCCCTCCCACTGCCCCATATCTCTCGTGTACACACTCAACATCTACCCATCCGTCCTCCCATCCGCCTAGCCATTCACTTGCCCATCAGACCACCCCAACTTTTCACTTACTCACCTATCTCTCCACCCACTGGCTTTTCCCTGGACTCCCAGCCCACCCATTTGCTATGTTGTACAGTCAATCATCCTCCTACTCCCCCTTACTACCCATTCATTAACTCCTTCACCGTCTGGGCTAGGAAGCCCTTCCTCCCTGAAGCAGGGGGACCGTCATCTTGCCCTCCAGCACTGAGCCTGACCCACGTTCCAAGTTACCCCTCTGGCTGCTGCTGCTAACACACTGCTGGGCCAATCCATCCATCAAATAACACTGAAGTCAATCTACACTGCCAGGTGCTCCCAGAACACAGAAATAAGAAACAGCCCCTCCCCTCAGGAAGCGCAGTCTGTGGCAGAGCTAGAAACAGCAAACCACTTGTGTTTACACTTATAACAAATGTAAACACAGGGCTCTGAGGGCTGGTGATCTGGAAGGCTCCCGGAGGGAGTACCAGTGAGCTGAGTTTGAAAAACGTGAGCGTTTACCAGGCCCAGGCAGGGCTCCTGGTTCCCTATGCCAGGAAGCGGGGCACATGCTGCTGGGGCTGGGGCGGGTCTCAGAAGGAGCTTTTAAGAGCACAGATGGATGGGAGGTGGAGACACCCAGGAAAGGTCAAAGCAAAGGTGTCTAATCTGATACTAAGGGAGGCCGGAGCCTTTCCAGGGTTTCAAAATCAGAGGAGGAGGGAAAAGCCAAAACTTCTTTTAACAAAGACCACTCTCTAAATAAATACAAAGGGGGAAAAAAGGAAAAAATGATTAAAACAAACAAAGAAACAAACAAGAAACAACAAAGAGCACTCTTGGTGGAGATGGATCAGTGGAAAAGAGTTTGGAGGTCAAGAGACCTCCCCCAAGGCAAGTATGGCAGAGGCACTGAGGGTCCAGACTAGGCTGGTGGCCAAGGAACTGGAACGTGGAGAGTGGACAGGAGGCTCTGAGGTGAAGTGAGCTGGATTAGAGCTCAGCTCTCCCAACTCTTGGTCACTTGAGCCTGGCACCGGCAGCCAGAGAACATTCCGGGCAGAGAGAACAGTGTGGGCAAAGGCCCAGAGGTGGAGAAGTATGTGCTCAGCTTGGGAAACTGTGTGGGAGAAGCAGGGACGTGCGGGTGTGGTAATGGCTGCGATGACATCGTCATCGGCGAGGCCAGCAAAGGCTTGACTGCGGCGGGCCTCTGGGGCTTGGGCTCTGTGGAGGGTGAGGAGAGCCTGGAGGGCTCCCCACCGTGAGTACAGCACCGAGCCCCCAGCTGTCCTGGCCCAGATGGCCACTCAGGTCAACAGAAATGGGTGTTGACCATCGGCCCCCCAGCCTTCACCCATGGCGTTCCCAGACCCACGCCCCTCATCCCTCCACTTCGCTGAAGTCAACCACCCGCCACGGCCCTGCACAAGTCTACAGAGGTGGGGCATCCTCATGAGCAGGAGCTAGTCTGTGTCCTCTTTGTGTCCCTGGAGTCCTCACAGGGCTCGGTCCAGAGCAAGAGTCAGGAGTGCTTCTTGAGTAAAATGATGAGCAGAATCTCTGCTCTTCCAGGACCTTGCTGCCCTTGCCCTTGGCCCTTGGCTTCAGAGGGGCTCACGGCCTCTTGGGCACTGCCGGTGGGATTCTTTCAGTGGCACAAGATAACTCTTGGTGAGCAGAAGCCACTCATGTTCTCCATGTTCTCCACAGGCTCCGCATAAACCTCGTCACTCCATCCCCCTCCACAGGGGTGGGAGATGGTCCTTTCTCTGCAAACCCACTGGTCAGGCCCCAGAACTCTCCCCTGAGGCCCAAGGCCTCCCCCTCCTTTCAAGTCTCCTTACTTCTCAGTCATGGACCCAAATTTCTTCTCAATGAGATACTTCTGTTTACTGTGTTCACTTATTGTCTCTTCAGGCTCTGGATGTAGGAAAAGAAGGGGGAGGTCAAGGAGGTGCCTGACTTGAGAGGTGTAGGAAACTCCATGTGCCATGGAGGTATCCAAACAAGAGCCAGCAGGTTTTTGTCCTGGATGCCCTTAAAGTGAGTGCTTCTCCAGGCATGGAGTGTGTATCAGTAATTTGTTCGTTTGCCTGTCCAGCATCTGTTCCCTCTTCTTCTGGAGAAAGTCTTCCCATTTTCCCAAGGAACCATTCCTACCCCTTTTGGGTCTATGCTGTCTAGCTGGGGTTGACTCCAGCCCCAACTCCAAGGACACGTGACTCAGGCCTGGCCTATCAGAACAGCCTATCATTTTGCCTACAGCGATTGGTTCAGAAAAAGGCAGGTGATCAACTGGAGCAAAGGAGACTCATTTCTGGGACTCTGTTGGAGCTTCTGGGAGACAAGGGCCTCCCTGCTGGAAGTGCTAGAAAGGGCTACACTGTGAGGATTTGGGATTGGAGTTGCAGGTGGCCATTTTCCTACTACAAGGGAGGAGACGCCCTAAGCACAAAACCCTGCAGAGGGCTACAGAGAGATGGAAGAAGACCGAATCCGAACAATCATTGGAGTCCTGGGTCCAGCCATTCCTGAAAGCCCACGAACCCTTAATTTGCCAAGTAATTTGAACCAATTAATTCCTCTTTTTGCTTAAGCTTTTTTTGTGTTGAGGATCTGTCCTTGATGGAGAGGGCAGGTGAAGGACCAGGTGACCGGAGGCCCCTCAGTCCTCTGGTGTTAGTGATCTTAAGAGTAGAATTCAGGAGCTCGGATTCTTAAGTTATAAAGATCTTTAAGCAGGAAGCAAAACAATTGGCTCAAAATCAATTCACCCAAAAAGTCCAGTGTATAAAAGTGAACGTGTATAGGAAATTTCATTTTTGTTGACTCTTTGAGTGACTCTGGACCAGTGTGTATACGACCTTGACAAAGAAAGTTGACCTCAAAGAAAGTTGAAACCATCCATATAAAATCACTGCTTTAAACCTGATAAGTTATTAACAGAAACAAGTATTTGGTGACTCAATTTGGCTAATTAGTCATTTCATCAATGGTCTTTCAAGAATTGACTTACCAGTTTAACTGGCTCGTCTTAGTGCTCTTTGGACCAAAGTTCTAGGCAAGGAAATTTCTCCTGAGTCTCATATTCTAAAACTCTGAAACTAAGCCTGGACTCCTGTGTTTGACTGGGGGTGAAGGGGGGCGGCATACCTGTTCTCCTGAGCTCTGTCAGCGACTCATCCAGCAGCTTCTCATTGACCTGGGCAGCCTTCTGGGAAGAAGAGACCTCAGTCCTGTCATTGTCCCATGCTCGTCTGCCCCTGAAGCAGCCTCCTCCCTTCCCTCCAGCCTCTGTGCCCCCTCCTCATGTGTCCCTAATTGGTCCACCGGCCACACCCCACTCAGTACCTCCTGCTTCACTTTCTCCAGGCCTTTGAGCAGTGCCATCTGGAAGTTATCCACCAGGACGGCAATCACCAGGCTGGGAGGAGAAAATGGGGTACTCTCAAGGAGGAGGCTGAAGGAGAGGCCCTGCACCCTTCTCTGGGTTCATTGTGGCATGACCAGGCTGAGAGGGCTGGGGAGAGGCTGCCCCAGCATTGGGGGGAGGGAGTGAAGCTGGGGAGCAGAGCAGGGGCGGGGTCCTCACTTGAGGAAGATGTAGTACTGGATGATGATGTAAATCATAAGAATGGGGATGATGTACCAGGCGCCTAGGAGAGAGGGGGTCATTCGAGCCGTGAGCTCCTTGCTGGCCTTCCCCATGCCGCTGCCAGCAAGCATCAGAAGCCCCACTTTGCAGATGGGGTAACTGAGCCCTCAGGGTCTGCCCACCCCTGCTCTCCACCCACCCTGAGCCCGGCTGTCCAGGTAGATGAGAGACCAGTCGTCCAGAGTGAGCAAGGTGAAGAGAGTGAAGATGGTGGTGAAGATGTTCTGGAAGCGCTTGGGGTCAGACTGGCGGAATAGTGCCCGGAGCACCACAGAGAAGAGGACTGGACATTCAGGGCCAAGCCATGATCCCTGGTCCCCCTGCTTCCCCACCATCACAGCCCCGCAGGCTCCTGCCCCAGCCCCCACGGCACAGGATACAGAGGCAGGTAAACATGAGGATGAGGATGGCAGTGATGGACGGCAGGGATCGCACCAGGGTCCCTGTCACTTCCTGGAAGCTGGTCAGGAAGCTGTGGGCAAAGGTGGAGAGGGAGGATGAGTCAGCAGGATGGGGATCTGTGCCCGGAAACCAAAGGTGATGCTGAAGGCAGGAGGTCCCTGACTGGCTAGTGACTTAGAAGAGTCCAGCCCCCTCTCTGGTAAATGAAGAGAAAGATCAGGCAGGAAGCTTATCAGAAGCTGGCTGGTGTCTGCAGCCTCCCCCTCCCTCCTCACTGGA